GTATCTCTAGATTAGCAAATAGCAGTGAATATGTGCAAAGAAAAAAAGTTAGGTACTATTTACAATTGTGAAGAAAGAATAAATCTAGCAGAACGTGTAAAAGGTTTGTATACTAGACAAATGTAGTAAAAATTTCATTTCTTCCCAAGTAGATATACAAGATTTTGTTAATTCCTAACAAAATCTCAGCAAGATTTCTTTGTAGGCATCTACTGGATTCTAAAATTTGTATGAACGACAAAAGAATTGCACTAATTAAAACCATATTATAAAAAAAGGAATAAACTAGAAAGAATTGTTGGTAGCCAATTTCAAGACATTGTTTAACTACACTAATCAACGTTGTTGCATTAGGAGTGAGTTCAGATCAATAGAACTGAATAAAGGTCCCAGAAATAGTCCAATGAGTTTACTCATTTACTGTTTTTACAAAATTATAAAAATACAATAGAGGAAGTATATTATTTTCAACAATTGGAGCAGAGATATTAAATATTGATAGCTAAAAACATCAATCTTAATGTAAGCCATATATAGAATACAGAAACTAATTTAAATGACCCCTAGATCTAAATGTTAAGCATAAAACTTTTACAAAAAAATGTAAGAGAAAATCTTCAGGATTTAGAAAGTGTTGGGGACTCTGTGCCAAAAGTAAGGTTCATTAAACATTTTTAAATGAGGTCACAAAAGTAATGTTGTTTTTCTCTCTTTAAAATACTGTGAAAGGAATGAAATGACAAATCACAGTTAGGGAAAGAATATTTACAATCCATATATTTGACAAAAGACTCACATCTAGAACATAAAAAAATCATTAAAACACTAAAGTAAAAAGTGAAGCTGTCCAGTTAAGAAATGAACAGCTTTTAAAGGGCCAGGGATTTAGCTCAGTGGTTCCGCCGCCTGCCTTGTAAGCGCAAGGACCCAAGTTCGATCCCTGGTACCAAACAAAACAAAACAAAGACTGAGGAATGAAATGAACAAAGATATAAAGAACATTTCCTGGAAGAGCATCTACAAATGTAAATAAGTACACAAAATAATTCAGCATCACTGGCCATCAAAAAATGCAAATTAGACCACCAGATACACCAACACTGTAGGAAAAAGAAAAATAAAAATAGATATACTGTCTGCAATAGTTTAAATCTTAAATGTAAAGGTAGGGCCTTTAAGAGATGATTGAGTCATGAGGGCCAATGGATTAATCCAATTGGAGATTTATAACTTAATGGGCTATTGAGAGATTGGGAGGTAGAAGAAGCTGAAACTCCCCCCACCCCGACCTCTCCTAAACGTGACAAAATGAAAAACTAACCCCCTATAAAAATCTGTACATTATTGTCCCTTGCAGCTTTATTTGCAAAAGCCAAAACCTGCAACAATTCAAGTGTCCTTTAGAGGGTGAATGATTAAACTGTGGTGCATCCACATAATGCCACAAAAGGGCAAACCATACTATGCGATGAAGAGAAAAATGGTATCTACAACTTGTGTAGTTCTCAAGTGTATTGTGCTCAGTGGGGAAAAGGTCTCCAAAGATCATGTACTGTATGATTCTACCTGAAGAACATTCTTAACATGATAAATTTTACATATAGAAACAGATTAGTTCAATCCCCAGTACCAAAAAAAAAAGAAAGAAAACAGATTAGTGGTTGCAGTGTTCAGGGACGCTTAGGGGAAGACGGATATGAGAAGAAGGATGAATGTAAAAGAGAAATGGGAAAAAATCTTTGCAAAGATGGAATGCTTTTGTATCTTTGTTGCAGTGCTCACACCGAACTGTATGTGTTGATAAACTGGCATAGAACTATGCATGTACTATGTGCCAGTGTTAATTTTCTAGTTTTGATAATGTACTATGTAAGACAAAAACCATTAGAGAAAGCTGGGCAAAGGGTACCAGGGACCACTCTGTATCATCCCTGAAATTCCTTTTGCATCTGCAATTTCAAACTTAAACACCTTAAAAATCATGTAGCATGAATTGTTCTGGGTCTCCCCCTATGTAATTATATACCTCTTGGTCACTTAACACTACAAAAATCTGTATCTGGACACAGTAAAGGCTGAAGTTACTTTTTCTGAACTAGAAAATTTAATCTTTATAACTGGTCTAAAAGAGCAACCTGGGGAAAGTATTTTGCTCTTAAGGTCAGAAGATTGAACTATTTCAAAAGGAGGGCTTTGATCACTAGAAACATAAAATGTTTAAAGGTGAGCCAGTTAGCTATGTACTTGGATGTAGGTTATTTTAATTTATATAATGAGGAACACAGAGATGTGTGCTGAGTGTAGATAAATGGCATCTAATTAAACATTAAGCATGTATACACACACACACACACACACACACACACAAGTCTTGATGTCTTGTGTCTACTTTAACTTTCCATGAATTTTTTGAAAGCATTCCCTTAAATTAAAATACATAAGAATACTTCTTAGTACGTAATTCAATCTGCCAATAAGCAATTTTGAATGCCCCACAGAGTAGACAGTCAGGAACTGCTGGCCTACCAGCACATGAATGCTGATTCACAGAAAGTTGAATGAAAGGAAGAGTCAAGAGAGCCACAAAAAGGACAAATTGGCTAATTTGGTCAGCAAGCCATACCTCGAACATCAAGGGATGAATAATCCCTCAGGATTTGCTAGCTCGAAACTGCTGGGATAAACATGCCAACATGAGGCGGCATTTTTGTCTGCATGGGACAATTGAGAATAGCTTAATTAGGGAAGAGATGTCTTCATACTCTGACAAAATTGTACTCATCAAAGACTCTTAAATTAGACTTTTGATGCAATTCTATGCCATTAAAGTGAGATATAATTAATGCAAAATTTAAAATATTATGGATCCAGATGGCAGGCTAAATATAATCATGTATTTCCACTGTCCACCCCAAATCCAAATGCAAAACAAGGAGGAGGTATAGAAGTGGGTAAAACTATAGCAATTCTGCAAATGAGAAGAGATCTTTTGCAAGCACAGTATTTTAGAAAACATCTGCATGACAGCACAAATGAAGCAAAGATAAAATAGAGCAAAAGCTACCTGAAAAATACACACACACAAAAAAAAAAGCTGAGGTAAGAGACAGTCTTCATTTTAGTGGTGTTTTCAAATCTTTGGTTGTATTGTTGCATTTAACTCTTCAACATTTATCAAATTGATTTATTTACCATGGTATCTTTATCCTTTTCCCACTGTATAACCAATTTCTCAAGATAATTTATTTCACAGTTCATCTGACTTAGACTGGGTTATTTCACAAAGCAGATCCCGGGACAGCGGTTATGTATGTATTTTTTAAGAATGTATTGTTAGGAATCAGGAGTTAGTGGCAGATAACAGCAAAGAACAAAGGAAACCCAATTCAAGTGTAATCTGCTGTGTGACCTCTAGAGCTGACAAGTTAACTCCATGTGGGACATTCAGAGGTACTTATGACATGTGGCTGTGATTCTGTAGTCATCCAAGTCTCGAAGGAGAGACACATTCATCCACTGGCTGAGATTCCCTTTTATGTGGCATTGTACTCAGGGGAACTCCTGAAAAGTCCCTGAGTACAAAGAAAGAGATATTGGGTACTTTCTTCTGATGAGCTAACAAGGCAAGGCTGAATCAGGACAGGAGGATGAAGCCCAGCACCCTAGTGGTATTTTCTTTCACCACTGATTTAGAGCACTCACTTAACTGAACAAGAGATTTCTGTGTAGGTACTAAATTTCTTCTCAGAGCCACCATTATATTCCATTGATCAATTTTTTGTTTCCTTTGCCAGGAAACCCAGTTTTTCTTATAGTAGCTTTATAGTGTAAGTTGATATCTGGTAGTGACATATCTCTTACAATTATACACTCTCAAATATGTAATTACAATTTTTCATAGCTGATATTTCAGAAGAACTTCAGAATCACTTTGTTATGAAAGAAAATATCTGTTAAGAGTTGGAGTTGCTTTACTTTGTACAGACATATTAATTTGCATTGATTTGAGAACTTTATACCATTATGCTTTCCTCTCCAGGAATATAGTACTTTGATGGCCTTATTCTATCATTCTTTTATATCCTTTAGTATGTTTTATATATCACTTTGTATAGGTATTACATATTTCATGCTAGGTTTATACCTATATATTTCCTAATTGCTAATATAGTTTTTGCATTATATTTTGTAATTATTGCACAAGAAAGCTGTAGAATTCTCTGTGGGGATTTTTTTGTGTGTGACCATTTTATTAAATAAACAACAGATTATCTGTTTTCATCATTTTCCATCTTGTTAAGTTACTCAGGAATTCCAGGTGCCCAGCCTTAGTGTTCAACTTATTTATACACTTAAATTCATTTTAACTTCCAGTGTGCTAAAGAAACTATTTAAAAGTGAAACTGTGGAAAACCACCGGATTTAAAGAGTGCTCATGAAGCAAGCGCTGGCTGTTTTCAAACTTTATGAAAGCATCCTTGAGATTCATGTGGGCAGATGAGTCTCAGTAAATTGGGGGTGACGAAGAGTCTCCTCTCCCGTTAGAATATATTGTTCCCTGAGAGTAGTGCTGGCAAATTCTGCAACCTAACTGGACTGAAGGGTGCCAACACAGATCATAAAAAAACATGATTCTGAGGTGCGCGTGTGTTGAGGCATATCTGGACAAGATTAGCATTTGGCTATTAGATTAATAAAAATTGTCCTTACCGATGTGGATAGGTGTCATCCAAACAATGGAAAGTACTAAGAAAATAAGAAGGCAGAGGGAGGTGAACGCTTCCGTCTTCCCTTTAACCTGGAACTTCCGTCTTTTCCATGAAGCCCTTGCGAATGGGGTTCCCAGGCCTCAGGACTCCATTATATTGCTGGCGGCGGGAGAAGTTCAAGCCCGGCTGGGCCAGGTGCGCCGCACTCCATCTCCTGAGCTAACTCGGAGACCTTGCTAAGGCTGAGCTAACTCGCCTAAGAGCGTAGATGATGGGTCACATTGTCCTTACCGATGTGGATAGGTGTCATCAAAACAATGGAAAGTACTAAGAAAATAAGAAGGCAGAGGGAGGTGAATGCTTCCGTCTTCCCTTTAACCTGGAACTTCCGTCTTTTCCATCAAGCCCTTGCGAATGGGGTTCCCAGGCCTCAGGACTCCATTATATTGCTGGCGGTGGGAGAAGTTCAAGCCCGGCTGGGCCAGGTGCGCCGCACTCCCATCTCCTGAGCTAACTCGGAGACCTTGCTAAGGCTGAGCTAACTCGGAGACCTTGCTAAGGCTGAGCTAACTCGCCTAAGAGCGTAGATGATGGGTCCAACTGGCTACACCTCCGCCCCTAGTCCGTGACTCCTTCGCCTCGCCCAAGAAAAAATCACTCCGCCATGTCTGGCCAATAAGATGCCGCCAAATGTTAAATGTTCCTTCCATGCTCCGCCCCCATGGTTCCCTGACCCTGTGGAACTGTGGACTTCCTGAATAAAGCAGAAACGTTCCAGAAACCTCGGCGGAGTCCCTCTGGCGATCCAGCGCTCCAGAACCTTGTTCTGCGAGGGGGCTCGTGGACGACAACAGCTGGCTTTCCTGCTTCTCCACCTTATGGATGACAAACCCCAGGATCTTTCAGCCTCTGTAACTATATGAGGCAATTTCTATAACAAATCCCCCGTTGTGTTTATTTCTTTGGGGAACCCCAACAAGGAGTATGAGGTTAAAAGGTTGAGCTTACATATGTATTATTGAAACTCAGCAGTGATTGTTTAGAATTTAATCCAATTATTTTAAGAAAGGAGTATTTCACTGGATATTGCTAAACTTTCAAATGAAGAATGATTATAGGACCACGTAGCTTTTAGTTAATTTTGTTATTTTCACTTAAGTACAGATGATGCTTGTCTCTCTGGGCTGCATTTGGGATGATTCCTCCGATGTGCCACTCTTAGACGTCACGGAATCACTACTACAAACTAAGGGATGCACCGACTATGTACAGTATGTAAACTCGAAATGATAGGCATTTTTAAGTGAAATAGTTTACTGATCTTTAAGGACCCAGAACAAAATGATAAGGATCTCCAAATTTAGTAGCAATGTAGAGGAAAGAAGAAAAAAGTAGAAAGGAGGACACAAAGAATAGGTATGACAGATTGGAATAAAATCTGTAATATTGTTACAAGGCAATAGAAGATTGTTTCTAGAACTAATGATTTTTGCAAATAATTTGTACAGCAGGGTTAAGTATTTCATATAATTTCAGAGGACTTAACCTATATGTGCTTGCTTTACTGTACATGTTTGTGAATTAGGAAAAAAAGACTGAATGGTTTTTAACACCTTTATGTTTTGGTAAATCAAAGAAATAAATGTTAATTTGGCATTGCAAATACCCTATGTATACACACCAAGTTTTCAGCATCTCTTCTCCAGCCTGAGCTTCTTTATTCTCATCTATTTTGATTATGCTTAGAATTTAGCCTCATAAAGCTCGCCTGGACTGAAACCAGGTTGCGAATGTTGGTAATGAGTCTCTCTGAAAACACATGAGCAATTACCAAGACTAACTTCGTTATACTTCTGACCCACACATCAGCACAGGGCCAGCTTTGAGGAATCTGGGATGGCTTTCAGAAGCTTTATGTGTTTATACACCTTTCCCCATGGGCCGTCACTCGGAGAGAACAGCTGCACCAAATTCCAGACAGCAAACTTCTGAACCATGAAACCACCAGGCACTAGGCAAGTTGGGCCAATGCTTTATTGGAAGAGAATTATAAATGCAGGCGGCATTGCTTTGGCACTATTTGAATTTGAAGCTCCTTCCATGTTTCACAATTAAGAGTACCAATGCCATCACGTCACCAGCAAGCATATGCTCGATTGTTAAGAAATGTTCAGTAAATCCTCTTTCTTTTTTTCCAAGTTGAAGGAGAAATTCTTATTGGCACAGTCATTCCTTGTTAAATTGACAGGGTGGAGCAGTGATATTTTTTTTTTTTGAAACAGTAAAAGCTGGTTTCTCCCAAACTAGCTTCGTTATGGTAGTGGATGTCAGTAGATCAGCCAGTAAAATCATGACCATAAGCCACACAATTAGGAGATAAATGGTGACACTAGTGCCTCGCTTCCAGCTATTAGATTTGTTCCTTCACGTGCTCAGCTGAGGTGCACAAAAAGTAAAACTTCTTTTAAAAAAATAATCAACCGGAGACAGAAGTGGAGAGAGCTTGCAACACTACCACGGGTGTAGACGTGGCAGTCTGGGAGCAGGGAGCTTTCTCTAGAAGGCTGCACACCATCCCTCCCTGTCCTGTCACATCCAGAAGGCTGCGTACTTAGAAGTATTGCTGGTGGGAGAGCAGTTGTCCTTTTGTTACGATCTTTGAATGTCATTTCTTTGGGAGCCCTACGGGCAAACTGTTGGGCTGCCTTATTGCTGGAAGTGCTCTTACAGCGAACAGGGGAACAGGGTTGGGTTTCATCCAGAGCTGAAGTAGCAGGCACTCGTCTACACAAGGAAAACTGATTGCACTGGGTGGGGTCTTCATCCACGGGACAGGCTGGGAGAGAACCAGGAATGGACATGTCTCCTTGGAAGACAGTTCTGAGGGAAGGCATGAGTCCAGTCCAATCGGTCCTTCAACCCGTGTCTGAAACCTTTTGTTATCTTAAGAAAACTCAAAGAAAAAAAAAATAGACATGCCTGCCCCCAGCTCACCCCTGACTAGGTTTTGAGGGAAAACTTTCCCAGGCCAGCCTTGCCCATAGCAGCTTAGAATTTTCCTCAATATGGATCCTAGTACTAGAGCCTGGATCTACTAGTTTATTAAAACAGTGGCAATACAGTTAGCAAAGATATATTATATTATTTTATTAGCATGTAGACTGTTTGAGGAGTGATCCTCAAGATCCTAGTACAGGATTTAGCTCAGTGATACTGCACCTGCCCAACAAGTGCGAGGTCCTGAGGCCTATCCCTGGTACCAAAAAAGAAAATATCATATTATATATTATATATTATATATATTATATATATTATTCATGCTCTCAGTATCCATGACCTTCTCCATGTGTTGGTAGAGGCTCATACTCTGACCCTGAGTTAAAATGTCACATAACTTAGCCAGTGGGGTTTTTAGCAATTTTAACACAAAAAGAGGGTTGGAAAGTGAGTGTTTGCTCTTTGTCCCTTAGAGATTTTCATGTGAACATTCCCAGGCTAGTCTTGTAGATAGTAAGAGACACTATGTGGCCACACTGAACTGGGTCACACTGTCCTCCAACGGGAGACTGAAGATCTGCCTGGAGCAGTCAGCTTCCAGCCCTGGGGGTTGGGCCTGCCAGATTGAGCACAGCTGTCCGGGTGACACACAGGTGCCTGCAGACAAGTGTCTCAACCTAGCCCAGATCACCCAAACTTCTCAGACTCGGGAACTAAATAAACGTTTATGATGCTTTGTGTCACTGACATTTATGTTTTAAGCATTATACAGCATTATTATGGCATTAGATAACAGATCCAACCTTCTCAACTTTCAAATAGATATCCAAGAACCTTGCTACTTTCTACAAGGTTGGTAGGACACAAAAACGACATTGATATATTTGAAGAAATCAAGAGACTTGAAAAAGACTAACTTTGAATGCTAAATCTGATACTGGTTTTGTGACATGAAAAATTATTGAAATTCTTTTGCACCAGTCAATTGGGCAATTTTGTCAATTAAAGGATACGTTATGTCAAAGATATATACTGTGACCTTGGGCAAGTTACTTAATCAACTTAATCTCAGTTTTCATTAATAAAATGAAGTTCACAATGGTTTTTGTCCCTCCAGAGTAATTGTGAAGGTTAAAAAAGAGAAGAAATAATATAAACCATTTCTCAGAAAGCTTGGCAGTTAGAAAGTACTAAGTGTTAAAATTATCATATTCTAAAAGTTATTTTAGAATTAGTTATATTTTTAATTTTGACAACATGAGTGAGGCATCGTGGCTAAAAAATCTTTTGTGCAATGCACTTGTTACTTGAGGCCTTCAGAATCATGGGTCAATGAATCTATGTCCTGGGGCTTTCTTTTATTATCACAAATGAGTTGTTGGATGACAAATTAGCTAATTGTCGCTTAAGAAGGTGAAAGTCTTCTGAAGAGAAGAAATTTAAAAATCTTTAGAGGTTCGATTTTTATTTTCCTCATTGAGTTTATTGGTACTTTTTATGTATATGGTACAGTTACATTCGTCATTGGGATCTTGTGCCTTTATACGACAGGTCTTGGTGCTCATTTTTCCCCCTTACCCCTGCCCTCAAGTTTCAAATTTTTAAAAAAAATGAAGGGAGCAGAAAGTGAAGTATCTCTGTTTTCCAAATGTGTCATATAAAACTCCCTGCAGGAAGCCTCCAGGAGTTGTGGGAACTCTGAATAAGACCCAGCAAGCAAATGGCTACCTTGAGCATTAGGACACTGAAGGAAGAGGTGGTCTAGAAGTCTGAAACCCTGATGAAGTATTTCTGTGGACATTTTCTAATTGGTTTCTCTGAAGTTGTGCAATTCTTTAATCCTGAATAAAATAAACTGATGTGTGCAATGTAGAAGGCTCCACAACCCAAGTAAAACTCCAGAAATTATACGTTGGTGTCAGTGTAAGTTACAAAGATGCATGTGCCAAACCAGCTCTAGCAGAGATGGGGAATGAGAAAAGATACAGAACTTAGTGGAAGCAGCTACAGGATCCGAATCCTCTTTCACATTTATATTACAGGATTTAACAGTGCTAGGAGTTCAAGGAAGAACAGCATCAATACAATCACTTGACCATCAAAAGACAGCTGTTAATGAAGCTGTGATGGGCTTTTAGAAAGGACTTCTTCCGCTAGTCCGGAGTTAATGAACCTAAATATCTCATGTTCTTTTGGTTTTTATGTTGTGGTTGTCAATGACAAGAATTATGCCTCCTATAGTTTGGATCAGGACTCCCCTCCACCGTGTTAAGGGCCTGCTCCCACCCCCTGTTCCTATTAGGAGGTGGAGTACATCTAAGAGGTGGAGATAGAAACAAGTATTTAGGTCCTTGGAGAGCTCCCCTGGATGGGGATAGTTAGTTTCGAGCTTTTTTATTTTTTCTTTTTCACTTTCTAGCCAGAGGTGAGGAGTTTTGCTTTGCCATGTACTGCACTTGTGATATACCATTAGAGACCCAAAGCAATGGGTCAACTAGTCATGGACTCAAAATAAAACTTTTCACTTTACAAATCATCCTAGGTATTCGTTATAGCAATGGAAAGCTGATTGACACAATGTGATTTGGAAAAAACAAATAAATACAATAGGGAACATCTTTTATACCTGTGTAACAGACTCTAGCCCACTTAAATCTCTCCAGGAAACAGTGTGTACCAACACCTTCCAATATAAATGCATACATACATACACACACATAAATCTTCTCTAGAGGTAAAGGCTGAATCTCACTCAATATGCCAACACAGGAGTAGTCCAGAAGTAACAGTGAGGAGGAAAATAATTAGGCTTAATGAGGAACATTCTGTGCACAAGAGAAGAACAAATTACAAGAAGAGTGTCACAGCAAGACAGATGATTTAAGAAAATGCACTCACTAATTTCCATAAGTTCTATTTAGCTTGTGTAATGAAAACAGCCTGAGTCTGTTATTGCTGATCATTGACTTGGGGTGTCAGAATAATGCTAGCCTTCCACCCCAATAAAGACAGGCTACTGTCACCCAATCATGTCACTAAGAATTGATTTCCTGCATCTGCCTTTAGAGCTCCCTGCCAAATGGATCTAACCTTGTCTAAAGTTGGTACAGGGGGCAGGTATAGTCAGACCATCTAAAAATAAATAAGGAAGGGAGCTGAGTCCTTGTCCTGAATTTGGGCATTTAATTTCCTTTAAAAAGACACGGAAGTTAATCTAAAGAATTGTTATTTGTTAGCCAGTTTCTGACTGGAAATATGGCTCCATAAAAAATGATGGAGAGAAAGAATCCAAAGCAACAAAGAAATTAACATGAACAGAGCACAGATATTTCTTTTTATAAAATTTGGGCACACCATGAGTTATTCCTCAAGTACAACATTAGAACCCTAATATTTTAACATGAATCCCAATTTTAATTTGAGTGCCAGAGGCCTAGGTTGGCTTTTGTCCAGAATGGCTATGATAAGTTAACATTCATTTTTCTCCAGACTGAATTCAAATAAAGGTAAGTATTAAATCTATTAATTCCTTATTTGCATATTTCAATCAGCATATACTTTTGAGCACTTTTTAAAATGGCAGATCTTATTCTAGGTGCTGGGCATAGAGCAGTGAATACAAACAAAAAATAATTTCAACACTCATGGAACTTGTATTTTTTAATGAGGGAGAAAGGAACAAATATTATTGTACAAATGTGTGTATGTCTGGGTGTGCATGTGCATATATTTGTTTTGTTGGGGTTTTTTTTTGTAGGGGGGTCAAACTTGGGACCTTGAGCTTGCAAGGCAGGCGGTGGCAAGACTGAGCTAAATCCCCAGCCCATATACATATGTTAAGAGATATAAATATATGGAAAAAATAGAAGAATAGGAAGTCAGAAAGTGCTGAAAAAAAGCTCTAGTTTTCAGTCTGTATATTATTGACAAATAACCTTTAGGGAAAGATCTTCAAAAGGTGAGAGAGAGGATGGAGACTATAAAGGTAGAAGGAAAATCAAGTTTG